AGACTTGCCTATTTGAAAATGTGCAGTGCTATGGAATATGAAATGATCTAAGGAGCCTCCCAAGAGGCATGATTGTTGGTGAATGTGCCCCAGGTACATCACTGAAGTCAAGAGCAGACCTAGTTGACCTGTCTGTTCCAGCAGCCTCAAGGGCTCATGGGAAGCTGTTGACAAAAAAGTTCCAACAAAGCCCAGTTCAGACCTCAAGAACTTTTTGGTTCTCATGTAGAGCTGCAACAGATTCTATTGATTTGCAGTTGCATACTGTACCTCAATAGACATCTGTGGACATTTCATGGAAATTATGCTGACTTTCTACAGCTACAATTGCTGTAGGTCTGAAGATGGATGGGTTATCAGATAGAGGTTTTCTCTGATGTGTGTATATCACAAACATAGCTCTGTTATATTAAATTATGCAGCAATCATACAAAGTGAGCCTTCAGCAAAACACCAAACGGCTAATTCTGCTGGCTTGGCCATCCAAAAGACACATGTGGTCTTGCAGAATACTGGTAAGGAAAACAATTCACATTTCCTCTATATTTAGGGGTTAACTCATTAATTCATTTTAATGTAGCTGGCCTGAGTGTTGCCTTTTTGTGAAAACATCAGACTGTGGAGCTGGGGGCAGTCAGTCTGATGCTAATTTCTCAGCATGGTCCATACTGGATACATTCATATTGTGCCTATTGAAGTGATGCAGTAATCCTTCAATTCTCCATCCTACGTGCTGTGCAGTTAATATGCTAGTGCAGACTGGATGGTTGCCCCACCCCAGACAGCATAGCTTTACAGTGGGGAATCAACTATCTTGGTGTTAGACCACTCTGCAATTGTCCATTTAATGCATTATATAGGCAGTGTACCACTTTATTCTTGTATATACTGCACCTGTCTTTATATTTTCAACTGGAATGGTACTATTGGCTCTATTCATGCTTCTTAAGAGTTCAAAGTATCCTAAAAGGGATTTAAAGTGATGTCTATTATGAACATGCCTGTTTACATCTGAGGATCCTATCTAAGTACTAGTATTAAAGCCTCTTCAGGGTCTGTGTGCTTTGTCTTTGTTGTGGGGCTGGGCTTTCGTCACCCAGTCCTTTCAGGCTCTGATTTTGATGAGATTAGACTTTCCTGTTCACAGCAAGCCAACGAGGAGAGATCACAGTGTCAACAAAGTGCCTCTGAGTAGGATGTTTTCTCCCTTGACATGCCAGCTGTGAAAAATCATAATGATAACCAGAAATAATAATAAGTTGCTTGGCAAGAGGTACTGTGTGTTTAAGCTGTCTAACCCAGCAGAAAATAACAGAAAGGTTTTTAAGACTTGAAAGTGCAAACATATAGAGTAAGAGCGCTTTAATGTAATGAAGATTGAGAGACACTGTTGTTAACATTGTAAGTGTTGTAAGTTTTGAATCATTAAAAAAAATAATTTTGAGATCAGTAAGTACTAAGAAATCAAATTGATGTTTGAAATTGCTTTCAAAGCTAAATTACTTTAAACGATCTTTATAAAGTGCAATGGAATTGAAGAAACACTTCATGCTGGAGACACAGCATCTATAAATAGCGTCATTAAGGTACTATTAGGGCACGAGACATGAGTTTCTGGACCTTGCCAAAAGATGAAAGGGGTGTAGTGTAACATGCATATGATATCCAGGGTCCATTTTAACGCTGGCCTGGTACCTCATACTCTGTAGTGGGCTAAGTTTAGCAAGACCATGACTGGAGTACCAGAAGTGACCCAGATGTATTCAGGGAACACCAAGAAGGCAGATCATCCAGTCCCAGTATGGAGTTTGGCCAAGACACCTGGATTAACACCCTTACTGAACAGTGCCCAGTGAAGGGAAAGCAAAGCGCTGGATTCTACAATCAGATAAGGCTGATCCACCATTAGAGCCCATTTGTGTGACTTTCATATGTGTTATTCATTCATATTACAAGTGACACATACAGTATGAGTATGAGCATACACGTATGACAATGTGTGTAATAACAAAAGACAAAGTCCAAAATAGAAACATCTTAACGCAGTCTGTTACCATGTGAAATATTATTATTTGATTAAATAGTACAAGGACACATTGGACAATGGTACAGTATGTGCTGTATAACATTACAAGTGTACAGGTATGAAGTAAATTGTAAGTACAGTAATTTTCTCCCATTCCAAAATAAGATCACTTCTTCTAGGAGTGTCTGATACAGGGTAATCTCCTTCTGTATTTGCATATCATGAAGTGGCAACTGTAAACGAACAATGGTCTAATAACTAAGTAGGGGGACACATTATAGAACATACCGTTCATTTTCTCAGAAAGAGAAAAGTTTAACAGATAAGATTGTAGCTCATTTATAGATGTCAGCTTATCCAGACAATTAAGAATTCACTTTGATCAAAATCCAAAAGAGGGAGGATCCTCGAGCATAAGCAGGGATGGACAGACCTGTCATAGTGGAGTCCTGCAGGTTCCCAGTCCAGCTTATTTGTCAAAGGCACAAGTTCAATGAACTGCGTATTACAGATAAAGTTTCACAGATACATTGAGGTGAAAGCATAGGTTTATTTCCGGCTGACTCTGACTTTTACAACACTTTCAGTGTACAGCTGACCCTGTTTTATGAGGGACAATTTGACATTTTACTGTGATTTTACTGTACATTGTCAAGTCTCTGCATTGTTGCCAACTGGCCCAAAATCAAGCAGACACCTTCCTCCAGGGTTTGTGTTTCACCTGGCCCATAAATGAAAAAACAGACATTTACTGAATATAACTGAATAAATATATCGTTATATAAAATAACTATCTTGACTATTTTTGTTTTGCACTCTTCAATTTACTACAATTAACCACATCGTCGATTCTGAGTTTGTGAATTCATCCATCTTCCTAATTTTCAGGGATTCATTACAAGAAGTCATTAATACAGATCAGCCGTTCTGACCATCTGGTCAGGGGAATCAGTGGTTGACAATAAGTAAATAAAGCAATAAAATGATTCTGTTTAGTTCATAACCAACCATATGTTCGGTTCGGTTTAGAGGTAACACATAAAGTGTGTCCTGTATCAATGTCTCCAGTTGACCATGAGCCTGTTGGTAACCATATGTCTTAACTGATGTCCCTAAAACTCTTGTACAATTCTGGTCTTTTGAGGGCCAGTATATTATTTAAAGCACCAGCACCTAAGAGCCTGAAGAGGGTATGAGGATATTTGGTTGACTGGTCCAGTAATGAACTGGACCTGTACTGTACTGTAGGCCATTATGAGCTGAGTTGGAGTGCAAACCTTCAGATACACTGGTCCACTAAGACACCTGTTGATCACCTCTGCATTGGGGACAGATTCCTTGGTGCAGAAAGCTTTTCCTCATCCTGGAAAGTCCAACTTCTTCAGGGTTTACAAGTATCTTCATTCATAGAATATACGCATGTCTAATTCACAAACTGTGTCAAGGACACAGTAGGTTGAGTGATTAATGATCAGCACAAACTGAGAAAATCATAATAAGGTTAGAGACAGCTGCTCCTATGGATTAAATACAGTGTAAGTGTTGTTTTTGTACAGCAACACACAGTAAAATGTTTAAAAAGCTGTTGTTTCCAGAGGCTGTATGAAAATTAAAGCAATTTAAAAAAAAAAAAGAATTTGTAAATGTGTACTTACAATTGTCTTGTTGTCAACCAGAAACAGGAAAATTTACCACTAGAAATTATCGCTTATTGCCCCATTAGTTACAGTATTTCTTTTCATTATAAATATTTCATTTGGAACTCAAAACCTAGAAAGTCATCGAAATACGCAAATTAATCTCTCTCAACAGCTTCAACATGCCAACAATACACTTTACTAACATGAATATGTATTGTCCATAACAATCTAAAGTCACTCACAGACTGGCATATTGCACAGATAAACTGGAGTTAAGATTTCTTTCCTTCTCTTTCTTTTAATCTTTTACTTGGTCAGAAGAATATGGATTTGTTATAAATAAGCAATCCATGAACATGGTAGATCTGCTGAAAATACTTCTCATTAAACTTCCATTCATCTCTTACTGAATAAATAACAGTGAATGATAATTCCACCACACACCGGCTCTCAGTGGGGAGGAGAGCAGAGTGATGAGGCCAGTTCAGAGATGGGGACTATTAGGAGGCCATGACTGGTAAAGGCCAGGATGATAATGGGGTAACACCTCCACTCTTTTCAAGAAACGCCCTGGGATTTTTAATGACCACAGAGTCAGGACTTCAATTTTATCCGGTCTTATTCAAAGGACACCACAATTTTTACTGTGTCCCCATCACTCACCATACTGGGGCATGAGGACCTACACAGACCACAGGGTGAGCGCCCCCTACTGGTTCCACTAACATCTCTTCCTGCAGCAGCCTTAACTTTCCCAGGAGTCTCCCATTCAGGTACAGGCGAGGCTCACACTGCTGAGCTCCAGTACTTTGTCGGGTGTGAGCTGCAGGGTGATATCCTGCAGCTGCTAGCTTAGTAAGAGGAGACAAGACTAAGAAATCAGTGCGGTGTAGTGGTGGGGTGGCTGACACAGACATATGTGTGTATTTTTAAACCTTTAAAACTCCCGGCTGCTAAATGTAAAATATAAAACTAATATATATATATTTTTAATTGAGGTCTTGTTATGGAAGTCAATGAGTTTAGAATTGTGTTTCAATTTGACCATAAACTGGAAACCCTCTATTTTATTTTAAATAGATTTTAAACTAATGACACAATGTATAAGAGTGGTTAATTTTTTTTGCACATAATGAACCAGCACCTGAAGGTGGAGCCAGAGAACTTCTTTGTGTAGTACTTTTTCAGATGTGTGTGTTGGGTTCAGGGTGGTGAAAATTCAGAGACAAGTTTTGTGATTTTACAGGTAAACGGATGTGAACAACAGGGAACTGACCGTAAAAGCACCCTGGGCTTTGGATTGTCAGAAAAGAAAAGAGAATAAAACAGAGAAATGTGAGTCAAGCTTATTTTCTTTTTATTGTTGTTAATGGGTTACAAGGCTAAAGATTCCTAAAATAAGAAGAGTTGTGAGTCATTTTAAACAACTTAATAGCACTCAAATGTGCTGTGCCTGTAGGTAGAGTTATCTAGAAGTCTGAGCTATCGGCTGCCTGAGCTTGCTGTGACCACCACTTCAAAGAGCTCTGGTGCAACATTAAAAGCTGGATAGTGGGGCAGGGGGTCTCGTGTTTAATTGTAGAACCTTGGGAAGGACACAAAAACATTGTTTGTCAACTTCTTTATGGAGGTGGGAGATGCTGGAGTTAGATTTATAGCAAATTTCACAATTCTTACTGAAATCCACCCCCCCTAGGATGTGAATACATTTCATGCTCTTATTGCAAAACAAGCCTGGCAGGATTATTTGCTGTAGTAGTATACAGACACACAGTAGGTGATTTTGTCATGGAAAGTCACTTTCTGTTCACCTCAGCAGTAGGAATGATAGGTGGCAATCACAATAAAATGCCTATTAAAATTAAAGTTCTAAGGCTCAATGCACAGTTTACTTAGTAAGCCTCCAAGGTTTGCTCCATTTCTACAATTAAAGTTTAAATAATTTTCTCTGTGATTTCTTTGTAATTTTTCTTACTTTCCAGAAACATTTAGAGTGTGTACATTTTTTTCCACCAACAGAAAAACTGTTATTTTCCAGATTTCTTTATTCCTTTCCTTTGATAAATTAACTGGCTTCTGTTACTGAATCCCACTCTCTGTGCTGTATTTGCTTGTAGCCTTAATTACTGGCAATATCAGCTGCCTTACAAGGAGGGCTAAAAATGCATGCCCCAAATCCAATTAACTTTTGATTCACTGCTCGTATAACAGGTGTCTGGAGTAATTGCAGGGTAGCCACAGAGCAGACTGATTTGTATGAGATATAACAGTGTTAAAACTCAGTCTCTTGTATGTTCAGCTCCAGTAGGACCAACCTAACAAGGAATATCTACAAGGGTTCAATCCTGGATTGGGACAGTTCATTACCAAATATATTGATTAGGCAGAGCTACAACAGATTAAACACATTAAAAGTATGTTCTTTAAGCCACTGTGACAATTTGTGGAAGCACCATGTTGTACTTTCAAAACCCTGCAACTTGGTACAGGGTGAAGGGGCTTAAAACAAGACGAAGGAAAGGGAAAACCGAAGGTCGGCTTGCTTTATTGTTCCATAAGGTGATGAAGTCTGTCCCAACCACAGGGGAACCCAAAAACTCGAAACAAAAAAAACTAACAAACTCCCCTCTTCTACTCCTAATTTCCTTCAGCGCTTCTGTCCCACAGCTCCAACGTCTCGCTTTCATTCACTTACACACAGACCTACGACATCAACCACTGCTCTCTGCTACATGCTAAACAAATTCCGCATTCTAACGGATTGCTAAAGTGTTCCCACAGGCAGCAGGTCTGGGAGCCGAGAAAAGAAAAAAAGGTGCTAAACTGGGGCAGGCGAGCCACTCTGACAACCCCTCCTAACTCTCCCCGAAACTACCTTGTATTTAAAAATATTATTTCACAAAACGAGCCCATTAACAAGCAGAGTTATCCAACATACACAGAGAGCACACAGGGAGAGACTGAGTGTGAAAGAGAATGAGAGTGGCACTGCTTCACCTTGCAGGCCTCTTGCGCTGGGCTGTAGTGGATTGTGTTTCAATCCCTCTGCACTGCAACACGAGTGGAGGTTGATCCAAACCAGGGCCTCATTACTTCTGATTCTCAAAGTCCTCCCTAATTCAGATTCATGGAAATACCGTGATCATTTAATGCTGGACTCTTCTCTCTTTTCCTTCTCTCCTGCATGCTTTAGAACACCAAAATGTCTTACAGAAAAAGACTGAACTATTTGTTTTAATTTAGTTGAATGCACCATTCGCTTTAAATTAATTTGAAGCAAGCAAGAAGCACTGATGGTATCAAACAGAAAGCTTTGATATTTCAAACCTTTCTTCACCATCAGCTTATAAACAATGAGGACTACTGTAAATCCCCCAATTTAAGAACACACAGTAGTTAAGACAGTTAAATGTGGAAAGGAAGGTGTTCAGTGGAGTTTATATCCTCAGGATCTGGGCTGCCCTCTAAATACGAAGGAAGCAGCTTCACAGCTAGACTGTGTCCAGCCTATTCTCAAGGAAGGCTGGCTTTGACAATGAATCCTGAACCACCTCTGATCACAGGTGTAGCTTCACCCAGTTCTTCACTCCCATACTGATTCAATCACTCGCTCACCTGCACAGAGGCCAGCAGAGGGGGGGGTTGAGGGGGCAGGAGGGGGAAGGGGTCAGTGTCTAGTCTACAGTGAGAAGCAAGCAGCTGGCTATGGTCGTCCCTCGCGCTGGGCATTAGGCCGTGTCCTTGCGCTCTGCAGTGGACTCCTTAATTATCTGAAACACAAATACACACCCAGTGAAAACAACAGCTTTCCAATATAAGTAGCACAGGGCAGGTCAAGCTGATTTGAAATGCCTTCAGCCACGGAGGGTACACACCAGACATCCTCAAAATATGAAGCTTCTTTTTAAAATGTATTTTAAAAACATTTTTTTTAAACCATCCGCTCCCAGGAAATTAGACTTTCCCCAGAAGCAAAACCCAAGCTCACTCATTTACAGGTAAGAATTAAACTAGTTAGAAATGAGCCGGCTACCATTGTATACAGCCCCTAGGTCACCCTTGATCCTGATTTGTTTTGAGGGAAGAACACACGTTCAGACAATTAAGGATAGCACCAGGGGTTTTACCCACCCTCGACGAGTTGTCTGCAGTCCAGAATCAACACAAATCCACCAACTTCCACACGAAATACCCAAACACAAGCAAGTAATACCAATTTACAAAATGCACAAGCCTCATAGGCAGATAAACAGTATGTTCAAACAACTGTAATTGTAATCTGAAATTGGGCTCTTCTTTTCTTTCGTGCGGAAGAACGTTTACCGGTGTTGAACGCACGTGTGTCGGCTTGGACTGCAGACCGTACCCCCCTTTAAAAAGACAGCGCCGGTTATTGGCTTCTGCTGCCCTCTGTCGTCGGCGGAAGGATTAAGTACAGGTCTCTTGTTTCCCCACTGTTCGAGTTGTGTCAACCATCTTTACCAGCTTCTTCGTCGGATTCTACTTTAAAAAGGGAGTGCTGTCATTTTTAGAAAAACCATCAGTGTACTATTGTTCATTATGTTACTGAATAGCCCACGCCATCATTTAAAATGTTAGTCGCTAGTTTCTATTTACATGAAAAACAAAGTTATTTGATTCAAAATGTAGTTACAGTATGAAAATTGACCTTTGAGTTATAGTAATATTGTATACGTGTGAAAATATATAGTGTTGCTTTAATTAAATAATTAGTCAATGTGTTGTTCAAAAGAATAGATAATGACTTGAATTAAAAGAACCATTGAATCGTATCCAGTTACTGTATGTCTCTACGCCTGATTTCCTAATCCTCTGGGTGAAAGACGCTGCAGGGCCATATTCACGGCGTATGCACTGTCAATAATATTCCTGTATGGGTAACCCATGAAGTTAACATTTACTGTATGATACAAACCTTGGGATTCTGAGCCAAAACTTTTAGGTGCTAAATTCCTTGTAGAAAGTAATGAATATTTAAACACATACGTTTTGGGGCCTGGTTATTAGAATTATATGATAGAATGATTCAGTATTTGAATAGCAACAGCATGGTGGTCAATTGGAAGATGGTCGATTTTAGCGGCAGAACACCTCGATGGTTCCTTCTCCACTGAGACGCATGATGCGCTGCCTGAGCTTCAGAGCAGAGTGCAGCGCTCGTGTCTTCCTCCACCATGACATCAGCCTTTCTGACATCGGCAAACAGTCGATATGGCGATCGTGTGGAAGGCGAGCACAAGCAATTCGTGACAAAGCAGTAGAGCACAGGTAGAAGTCTCTCAGTTGTCAATCCTCTTTCTAAATCCAATTGATCTCGAATTTGCTTTCTCTAACTCTGGGCTTGTACTGAAATATTTACCTGCCTGTTTCTCAAGCTACAAGCATCAGACAAGAGTAACTGTTACTAGACATGGGTTCTAGAAATCCTCATACTTGGACAGATAGATGTCAGACAGGGGCTTAAGCATGTGGACCCATGCAGAATTAAACTATTTACTAGGGGGGTGTTGACCCTCTGTCCTGTGTTCTCATTCCCACGCATGGGCGTACCTTGTTGCTGGAATCTCTAGGGGGTTTCGTCAGGTGTTTTGAGGCTGAGGCTGCACTAAGGTTATGTTACATTATGAGGCAACACAATAAAGCTAAAGCTGACACCAAAGATCGAACACAGACAAATCAGAAACCCTGGTGAAAATATATTGTAATTTCCATCCATCCAGTTTCTAACCACTTGATCTGATCTTCAGGGCTGCGGGAAAGCTAGGGCCTAGCCTAGCAAGAAACAGGTGCAAGATGGAATAGAATTGATTATAAATTATTATATAATTATTATTTAGTTCAAGAAGGTAACTGCATCAGCTCGCGTAGGCTGCAAAGGATCAAGAAAAGGTTTATTCGCTGCTGAAAAGAGAAGAAAAGAAACACAATGTTTCACCTGTGGAGCCTTCTTCAGGTGTGACTCCACAGCCGAAAACTGTGTGCTTCTTTTCTTCTCTTTCAGCACAGAATGACCCTTTACTTGTTCCTAATTATTACGCAATCTTATTATTGTTTACATACATAGTAAATATATATGCATTATTATATAATTTGTTATAGGTGTAATATAAATATAGCAGTAAAATCATATTTTTTTAAAGTGCTGAAGCATAACACTGGTTTTCAATAAGGAAGTGTGCAGAATCCATACCATGTCTCTCAGGGTGCAGTAATGTCTGGTGCCTAGGTACCATTGGGGCTAAAGTGAAGGTAAACAAGTGGCAGCCTGTGCGCTGGTCTGAGATAGGCAAATGCCAGTGCTTGTGGATACAGCGCCCCCTGCTGACGTACCTCCCCATCCCTCATGTCCACGGTTTTCACCAAAATGGTTCTCTTCACATGAGACTCTGGGGAGAGCTTTGTGTCCAGGCTGGTCTCTGCGGTACAGAAAGTGAAAAGGATTTGTGCACTTGGGACTGGCGTTTACAGATCATTATGATAATATGAGAAATATGAGTATATCAAGAAATAAGGTAACAGGACATACTGTACAGTCTACTGGTACAAATGAGCTACTCCAGCAGGCTTGGCATCTCTAGAGCTAAGTAAAACTGTCTTTTGCTTTCTACAGGATGTGCCACCTGTCCATCCATGGTACCACCAAGTATCAGTTTGAAGATGATTGGCTTTGTGCACAAGGTCAAACACTGGGTGCTGCCTTTACCTGCTGGACACGTCACAGGAAGCTGTTCACTGATAGCAGCCAGGGTTGCTGCAACACTGACAATCACAGTGAGTGTTCACAGGACATGCTGGATCACCACCTCACAGTCCTGACCCGAAAACCAATGATTTCAATCCCTTCTGTGCTTTAAAGAGTCACCTGTACAGCCGAGGAATTGCCACTAACTTCAAAAAGAATTGTAGCAGGCAGTTACACCGGACTCCAGGAGATCTGCTGAGTTTGTTATATTGGTGTTAGTAGTGGGATTCAAACCCATATGAACAGAGTTCCTGCCAGACAGGTGTCCCAGGCAAGACAAACCCATGACTCTGGACTCTGTTCAATTCTACGGCACTCTGCCACCCAAAGTCAAATAATTAGAGCATAACAAAAACAAAACCATAAATGACTTGAATAATCACAGTTTTTTGAGTGTAGTGTTGATTGGAAATTGTTTGATATTTTGCCCTGGGTTCTGTAACGACTAAAATACTTTGAAAAGGGATTCACTTGTATGTGGTCTCATTGTGAATCTGGTGATGTACCCTTTCCTCCATCAGAAAATAGATGTCCTTGTTTTCATTCAAGGATAGATTATATTCTGAGGTTAATTAGCCCTGGATTTAAATTTTTAACCTGATTAAGTATTTCCTTTGTCCCTTTCGGTCACTATACTTGTCAAAGACATTTTTCAAATTGAATATATCTTCAAGGATGCTAAGGCAGCTTGAAAAGTGAAAACTGCACTCAGAATGGCCCAGATCAGGAACTGGTGTTGCTCTGTTTGTGCAGAATGACAGAGGGTGCATGACAGTTTAAACCTCCAGAGAAATAATAAAGAAAGGTTGGATAATAAAAAGTAAATTACATGTGTGTTTGAGGGGGAGGGTGCTCACCTCTGACTTGAAGAGTAGAGAAGCTCTGAACAGGAACAGTGATCCTGAGCAGAAACAGAAAAGGCAGAATTTAATCACTCCTCACCTTTAATTAATATAGGCTTACAAACCAAGAAGAATGCTTACTGGGATCAGTTACCAATATTGGACTTTGGCTTTCCAGGAAAAAACAACCATATTAAAAAAGTTTATTCACAAATTGTTTTATACATTGAACATTGTCAACGTTGATACCCTACAGTACATACTGTATGCATATTTGCATATACCTTTGCATATTTCATGTTCAAGTTCAAGTACATTTATTCTTAAACTTGGCAGTATTTGACAGAGCATCTGCAGTAGACGTACTGCTGTTTTTAGTGTAGTTTCTGTCATTCACAGAAGAGTGATTAAAGTTTTTGTGTTTTTTTTAAATAATTAAAGGCATGTCACTAAATTATTCACAAAAATTCAATTTTGGACAAAAAACTGATACTTGCATTTAAGTATAACCATTGCTTATTGTATTGGCATTGTAATGTGTCTATTGTAATTGTTGTAAAACTGATCTACCTGTACAACAATTTAATTAAAATGAAAAAAACATTCAAATGAGCACTTTATGCATGGTTTCCTTGACTTCAGCACTTTACTTGTATTTTTACAAAAAAAGTCTTTATGTTTTTTTTCCCAAGTCCTGTTCTTTTGCCTGGTGCAGGTGGAGCGTGATGAGCATGTTTGCAAATATCCAAACTGAGCTGTAATTTGATGGTGCAATCTTACGATGCACAAATATTTTGGCACCACCCAGTCTGGCATCTGCTCCGCCATGAATTTTGTTCAGTTCCTCTGTCCCTTTGTACTGTCATTGCTAACACATTCTGCAGGCTGATATCTGGGAGTAGCTTACAGACATGCCTTTCCTGCATTCTCTTGAAACCTCTGGTCACCATATGACATTGCTACCCTGGAAAGAGTTACAACAACAGCAACTGGAATAGTCCAGAACACTGATTGAGCTCCATAGCCAATGGTCTGGATTATATCAGTCCCTGGTCACTCTAGAAGCAGGACTCAGAGCTGGGTGGGCATGTGTCAGCCAGTGCATACTCACCTTGCTGCTGAATTGTGACCCCTGTGAATTGACCTGCATTTGTGAGTTTGTAGTGTGGTCTCTGAGAGCTGCATCACTCCTCCTGTCAATGCTCACTCTGCTGTGAGCTCACTGGGACTACTGGGTAGAATGACTACTGCACACTTTATTTAATACAGGGTTGTGGGCAGCCAGTGTCCCAGCAAGCAATTGGCGCAAGGCAGGATACACCTTGGATGGGATGGCAGTCCATTGCAGGGCAGACACACACACAGCCAATTTTCCTATAGCCAATTAACCTACCAGTATGTTTTTGGACTTTGTAAAGAAACCCATGCAAACATTGGGAGAACGTCCAGACTCCATGCAGATAGCACACAAGAATTGAACTCAGGGCCCCAGTGCTGCAAGGCAGCAACGCTAACCACTGCAGCACAGTGCTGCCCACATTCTCTACATTCTTTAAATTTAATCCTGCATATTAATCCTAACATACTGTATTTTCACATTTTAGTTTACATCCATCTCGGATAGAATTTCATGTTATTGCTCTGTGGTTTTGCTTTTCCTGTGGTGGGATGTGCTCCCAGTTTATCCCCATTTTCCCATTCAGTTCCTCAATAAACTCGGCCCAACCATCACACCCTCAGCTGAATCCCTGGCAGGCTCACCGGCTCTCCTCGCCCTCCAGCAGCTTCCTGTAGGTGGCGATCTCAATGTCCAGGGCCAGCTTGACGTTGAGCAGGTCCTGGTACTCCTGCAGGTGGCGCGCCATCTCCTCCTTCAAACTCTGGATCTCCTCCTCCATACGGTTCACAGCGTCCTGGTAGTTGGCCGACTCAACAGAGAAACGATCCTCCATCTCACGCATCTGGCGCTCCAGGGACTCATTCTTACAGAATGGAGAATGATCCATAGTCAGACAGGGGCAAAATAGCCATGAGCTAAAAATACAGCAATTCTCTAACTGCAAAGACTATCATTGGAAGAAACTGAGTCATCCAGCCACATAAGGAGTGTAGTGGGTGGGCATATGCAAAGGTTTCTTATCTGTATATTGTGGTTATACAGTATTTCTCTTTATCTAATGCTCTGTGTTGACATACTGTGTTCATTTGCGAAATTGCAATCATCTTCACACTAAAGAGACAAAACAACAAAAATAAGCACACTCCTTGTCGAGATGTGCCTCTGAATGCTTTATTGTTAATTAGACTCACAGTTCCACGGAGTGATTCCAGGTCACAGGTCAGCGCCTGGATCTGGCGGCGGTAGTCATTGGCCTCTTGTTTCGCCTGTCGCAGAGCTTCTCCGTTCCTATTAGCTGCATCAGTCAGATCAGCAAACTGGGAGAGAACACAAACATTTACAGATCATCAGAAGTCCATGAAAGAACAAAGATGAGTTGATCTGATTGAAGTATCCACAATACTAAAAGGCAATATCATACTGATGTACGTGAAGGTGAGGGTGTGTTTAGGAGTTAAAATAAAATGCACTTATTTACACAAAGAGCTAAAAGCACCTAAATCTATTTATTCAGCCATGCCTTCAAAGATGGTACATGAGATTTCTTTAATAAACACCTGCATGAGAGTCAAGGTAAATTTTGCTAAACTTCTAATGAATAAGTGAGAAAATTAACCTGAAAGAACTCCTTCAGCCAGTCTTGGAAATTCCAAAGCTTTCATACCAAAGCAAACAAGAAAAACGGAACAAGGGAAAGGAGGTCAATGTCTTTGATAAGGCCAGACCTTGGAGCGGTACCACTCCTCCGTCTCCTGCATGTTGGAAGTGGCCATCACTTCATACTGGCTGCGGATGTCTCTGAGTGCCGCGGTCAGGTCTGGTTTGGACATGTCCATGTCAACGTGGACTTGCTGGGCCAGCACCTGCTCCTGCATCTCATGCAGTTCCTGTGGGCAGAAGAGAAGGACTGACTGAGTGTTCACTCACTGCTGAACACCTCCCTCAAAGACTTGTTCCTGATTCCCCCTCCTCTGGTTATCCTCCATTTCTAGAGACCTGACAATACCCTCCACTGCAATCTCATGCCTTCCTTCTTCACATGGTGGATGTCCAGCTAGGGTTTCATTTCCATCCCTGAAGACCTTGCTAACCTCATCATGGATCTTCTTGAGGAAGTTGATCTCGTCCTGCAGGGCATCGATTTTTCTCTCCAGCTGAACACGGTTAAGAGCTGCCTCATCAACATCCTGTAGAGACACAGCAGGCAGCTGTTAATATGGAACGCAAGTGCAGAGTAACTTTCAAAATCTGACCTCCTGAAGCTGCTGAATACTTCTACATGCACTGTCCTTACCAGACTCACAATGAAGAAGACCATGGCTACCCTGTATTTTAATAATAAGCAAATATTGAGTGTACACATACAATAGATTGTTACATTTGACTCTATAAAATAACTTTGAAGTGCAATGTTAAACAAATATGAGCTGTATTGTTTATGTTTTTAGATGTGTGTTTAGTATGTTGTCTTTATTATATAGTCTGGGAAACAATACAACCTTTACAACCCCAGGACAATATGGTTTATAGCTGTTTATTCTCTAGACACCATGTGCACCTACTGCATAGTTCTTCAATTTCCTGGAAAATGCCAGAGAGACCTGCCTTGAATGTCACCAAAATCAAAATATTTGGGACCTGTGAGTGACTGCACTGTTAAAGTCCCTCTATTCACAGACAGGTCCAGCCATACAATATGGAGTTGTTAAACTGAAGTTCAATAGAAGGTCAAATTGTATTCTCACACTTCCATTCTCTTATATATGAAATCTTGCCAGATGAGTACCTCCTTTCACAGTGTTTTTCTCGCCCCTCTCTCTACACCCCATCTTCAGCGTTGCAGCTGCCTCCCTGGTTCAGTCCAGGCAAGTTCAGGGGTTTCTGGCAGCCTTGACCTTACAACCAGGATTGTCATTTCTTCAGCCAGGTGAGTTCACACCAAATACAAAATAATCAAGTATGCTATCCCTGTAAATTCATTGTCTCGTCACATTTATTCAATTATGACCAAACTACTAAACTGGGTTTTGCTGCTTTGAGCCTGGGCTATGTCACTAGTCCATCCTGACTGATTATCCCCAAACAGCAGCACACCCCTAGGTCTGGCTGGGCTGCTTTCCTTACTTTGGCAAATGACAGCTGTCCCTGGAACTTGTCAGTTGCCTGCATGTGTGCAGTGTTGTCGATGAAAAATAGATCACTATTCCGATTGCTGTTGGAACTTCCCTGCAACTCATTCTGCAGTGATTTCAGATGGGGAGGAGAAAGTAACTAGCTCAATTCTTAGAAAATTGCAAAGACTAGATTATGGTTCGACTTGCCTGTCGGTATGAGTTCAGGTTATTTTCAGCTTCAAGGCGCAAGTTGATCTCATCTTGTAGCCTGCAGGAGAAGAGAACAGAACCATTAGCTTTAAGGTACATCATTATTGCCCAGCATCATAAAAGGAAGACACTAGACCTAATTGGTTTTACATAAATGTCCACTTTGTCTGGATTTAGTATTATTACAAGCCCTCAGCAGATATCGATCTACGTCATTAGCCAACTGCAATGTTTCAAGCTGCAATGTTCAGTAAGGACACGGGAGCTTCAGTTAACCTGCACTTCGCACGTAACAGCAACCTCTGTGGTTTGCAGAGCTGTCAGCAAGAACTGCAGCACATCCTTCAGTTCATTACTCTGCTACAGTATATCCCTTGTGGGGCTCACATACTGAAAAGGGCATATGGATTATCTCTGTACCTCTCAGAGGAATCTTCTATAGTCGTCACCCTAGTCCCACTATTGTACAAGCCACAGCACAAGCTATAAAGTCAATGCTTTGTGATTATAAAATTGACAAGAATGAAAGGGGAATATAACTGTTTTTTTTTTCCAATAAAATGCTCCTGGTGAATTCCTGAAGCATGTCTGTAAGCAGTCATGAGGCAAAGTATATCAGCGTAGCACTAGCTTTACAGAGGGATTTAAAAAGCAGGATGTAGAAAATTGCTGACATCCTGTGAAATGTATGACTTTAGTAAGGATAAGTGTGGACTTTTTAAATCTTTAAAGCTTTCAGCACAACAGCATGCCCTGGAGGATGCTGTCAGTCTCCCAGCACTCACATGGGGACTGAAAGTTGCACACACTTCTCCTGTACTAAGAGGCCGCAAGAGATGTTAGACAGCAGCCTCAAGCATACAGAGCAACAGAACACAGAACCAAATCCCAGGTGATGTGTTGGAGTGATCGTGGTTTACAGTGTAATAGTTCTAGACAAGGCAATGGCTATGTTTGAAAACGTGTCAGAATAGCAACAATGAAAAGAAAACCTTTAGCCGTTAGGGGTCCCATAGTGCAAGATGAAGGAGTTTTGTCTCAACAGCGCAGGGCTCACAAGAATGTTCAAGCTTGGCTCTGCAAAGAGCTGGAGCTTTCAGAGTGCTTGCTGTGGCACTTGTCTGGGCTGAGCATGTTGGGCGCTCAGAGGTGTCTGAATCTGGAGCTTAGTGACAGACTTGTTACTCAAACAGGTGTAGCACCATATGATAACACAGTGTCATTTAGATGGTTTTTTAAATGTTCTTAGGAAGTGAGCTTCAGAGCACAAAGATGTAAAGTAATGTCTGGGTTACCCAGAAAGCTCTAAGAAATGTGTTTGTTTTTATGAGAAGCAAGCAGGTTGTTTGACGAACAACAATGCAACCAGATCTGAAAACAAACTATCACCAAAGAAGATAGCAGCCCTTGAAAAAACTAAAAGAAATTAAAAACACAGAACAATCTGGGATACTTTTTTAATATATCCCAGGAGGAGACTCAACGTCATAACTCTTTTGTGCATTCAAATGAATTTTCTTTTACCATAAGTCAGCATTTCTACACATGTAGAACTGCTTGAACACAGAAAAATAATTAGATGCTTTAATTAGGCAGATACACAATATTGATAATCCTTTTAGGAGAAACGTGGATCAACAGAAAGCTACAATCTGCTGACTTCTACATCCGCTCTAAAATCCACCTTTATTTTATTTCCAGGGCAAAAAAGAGTCTGTGTTGTTGTGTACAAGGACCACAAACATCACCAGCGCTGACAAAGATTAAGAGATTAAACTGAACTTTTTGCAGCTGTGCATGGCCCATGCTCCCTCTGACAGCCAGCAGGCCAGACAATAAAGGCCCCTTTGTCACACTTGTCTGTGGGGACAGCAGCCACCCAGCCCACTGTTGGCAATTCCCAAAGAATAAAATTGTCAGAGATGTTATTTGTGGCATAGTCTCTGACAGAATGCACCATTCTTTGGGCACAGACATAAATTAGGCAGAGGTGTGGGATGAACTGTGGTCTCAGTTTTCCATTGTTTTCCATGGTGTTTTGGAGGAAGGAGGTTGAGCTGGAAAGGGATCTGGAGATGCTTCATAGTGTCTATACTGTACTGTTGTTTAACTGACAAATGGCAGAAGAGCTTTTCTCACCTTGTGCAAATAACCTCAAGGAAAGGAATTCTTTGGATGACAACAGTCAAATGTTTGCTTATCTGGCAAAAAGAGGCTAACTACTTTTATTTTTCATGTGCATTTGTCAAATGTTTATCTTAGCATTGCTGTTTGCACTGTGGGACTCTCAGTGCCATTTACAGACACGACTTACCTTCATCTCCTCTATATTGGTAAAGCAGGTTATAGAACTGAACCAAGCTGACTACCAATCCATTATGGGAGTAAAAAAGGAGCAATTAATATAGATTAATTAATCACTTCAAAGGGAAAAAATAAATACAAGGAAAAGAATAATAGTGCATTAAACAGGTCTGATTGTGTGACATGAGGATGAGATGGATTTCACTAATAATGGTGGGAAAGCATGCATGAACCCATCACAGCTATTACTCATCAAGAGCAAAGCTTTTCTTTAAGTACTGGCATGAATGCAAGAGTTCGTGCAGCTGTCACTTCAAGCAAGGCTGAAAAGAGGAATTTAATTCACAGTCAGGCTCTTTGTGGGGCCCAGTGAAAAGCCTATGTACATAATAAAATGTAGGGGGCTCCTTCACTCGACTGTTCTCCAAACGACTTCATATTGCGAAATTTAAGCAGCTACAGTAATGGGCCGTCAGGTTTATTTGCTAGTAAACTCAAGGCTATAAATCCGTACGTTTCAGGTTTCATGCAGCTTAGTGATCCAAGTGGATAAATTTATAACTTTACAGGTAAGACATTTATTCATATCTCATGTCAAATATAATATTATAATATAATAAAAGCAGCATGACTGATTCCATCTCCTCAGATCCCTGATAGGTGCACAGTCACAGGTAATGTTGTTAATTTTATTTTTTCTTGTGAAAACTGTCACAAATGACTATGATTTATGACTCTAGCCCTGTTTAGGTAACCTTAGTTCACTTCACCTTTAGACAGCAAATCCATTCCACTGAAAAAGCTAACAGTGGTTTGAAGGTTTTAAGATCTGTATAACCATCACAAATATGGTATCTATCTGCAAACCCCATCTTACCAGAAATCTCTAGTTTAGCACAGTTTAATTGATGACAATAAAACCCTTTTTCAATAGTTTGAGGACACCAGCCTTCAGTATGAAGAATACCAAAATCAGTGGAATCAAAATATCCTACATTCCAACTGCTTTGAATGTCAGTTGAACACAAAACATTTCCAGCAGCACCACATCTGTGATGTAAAACTGAAAAAGTTTTTAATTCCACCCTAGTTCTTCTGCCCTGCTGTGTCACACTAATTTTGCATCTACAAATGCAGGCACTGGCACTCACAACACAAACACACTCTCACGCTCGGTGTTCACTCTGGCTTGTAAGGATTAGATTTAGTCAGCAGACATCATCTTTCCAGGGCAATTTCCACAACTGTACTCTGAATTCCTTTCTGTTCTGAATGTCCTAGTAAAACCAGCTCAAATCTATACTGCATATGATAATACTATATAGGATGCTGTTTTATTTTGTGCATAGATTTAGAAGAATTTTATTTGAAGAACACAAGCAAAATAATTTATAAACATTTAAGTTATAAATATTCCTGTCCTGGAGAGCACAAAAAAACTTTCTGAAAAACTCCTAATTATTTTGCGTGTACAGGCTCTAGCAAGAGGAGACATCAGTTTTGCCTGACACTAAGCATACTCTCAGACACGACGACACGTAGGAAAATCAGCAGCACTGAATGGGGCATAACTCCTCTACTGGATTCTTTGCATTTTAAATTTGGGACATATTTTATAACTCTGTCACTACATTATAAAAGATTTAAAGAGTATTGCTCTCCAACCCATCCAACAGGTTCTCCTTGGTGACTTTATTCTATAGTTTACGAGTTCCCCGTTGTTCTTAACCTAGGCTACACTCTATTGCACATTGCAATATACCAGCTCATTGTTAAGGGATATTGACTATACTGTACGTTTTTAAATCATGTCTTAAAGTATATTTTCAATTCCTGGCACACACTTATAGATCTACTTTTGATCTATACTTGTGGGCCAATTTATAAGGCCCTTTGAGACATGGCTAATGAATTATCCTGCCTGAACTGGAGACAGTTATTCTATCTCTTGTAGTAGCTGGACTCCAGATTTAGGCTTTTGCTTGTGGCACCAAAGCGATCCTTGGAGCCGCCGTACTGTTATTCTCTCTCCGGAATCTGAAAGGACTACGCTCGGGGCTTTGGGAATGCTGATAGGGGAAACTCCAGCTTACTTCTGCTGCAGGTGGGCCAGGTCCTCAGCCAGGTTGTCCCTCTCGATCTCCAGCCTGGCGCGGGTGGTGCTCAGCTGGTCCACCTGCTTGCGCAGCTCGCGCAGCTCGTCCTGGTAGATGTCGCCCAGGCGGGTGGGCTCCTTGCCCCTCAGCTGGTTCAGCTCGGCCACCAGCACCTTGTTCTGCTGCTCCAGGAAGCGCACCTTCTCGATGTAGCTGGCGAAGCGGTCGTTGAGCTCCATCATCTCCACCTTCTCGTTGGTGCGCGTCTCCTTGTACTGGGCTTTGAGCACGGTGTCCAGGGAGAAGTCCAGCTTGTCGGGCGTGAAGGAGCCCAGGACGACTCCACTGCGGCGCGCCGTGACATTGGAGTGCGAGAGCCGGGGAGAGCTGTGGACGGCGAATCGGCCAGAGGACAGGGATGTCCTTCCACCGCTCCCCGACGCCCCAAACCTCTTCCTGTAAGAAGACGCCACCACCCTTTGGGTCTCCATGTTCGTGCTCATGGTGTTCGGTGGAAATGGAACAAGTCAGCAAATGAAATGGTCTCTGTCCCTCTCCGGCTTTTATAGACACTGTCCTCCGCCCCCCCACCCTGAGCAGGAGGGCTTGAGACAGGAGGGGGAGAGAGGCAGGGGGAGGGGGAGCACCACAGCTAGGACTTGCCAGCCATTGTGCTCGTCTACTGAACTTGAAACTCTCCTGGCTTTCTCTCGCTTTCTGCAAGCTGGAGTTTTGGAATGTTATTCAGGAGGGAAAAAAAAAGATAATGAGCGCCTGAAGTACTCCTGTGCACTGTAGGGAACAACTCTGCTGCAGGACTGTGGTTTTCAAAACGGTTTTAATCAGTGTGGCTGCACACTGCGTCCAAGGGATTTACTGGAAATAACACTCACTGGACTCTCGCCGCAGTTTTGTAAAGCACTGCCATCTACAAAACACTTTGCAAGGATTTATTTTATGAAGATTTAAAAAAAAAAGGTGTAGGCAAAGGTGTAGGCACTCTTTTACAATGTCCTTCCTAGTCATAGAACTTATCTACCTTTGTCTGCATGAGGCCAAAGCCAAGAAAAGTAAGATAAAAATCAATTTCACTTTAAGTACAGTATGGCTATAGCTACTGTACATCCTTTAGGATTAATTTAAGAATTAACATTGCCTACTAACCAAGCATAAAGGACATTCTGTGTGTCCATTACGACTATCAAACTACAGTATTCGACTGTCATTGCTTTCACCTTTTAAGCACCTCTCATCTTCCCCTCAGCTGACACAATCTAAATAAATGTCAGTGTTTTCAATTATCTGAGATGTGCGACGACATCACTAGTGTTGTGTTGCTCTTGTGCACTTCAGCTGCCAGTAGCTTTGCACTGGTGTGAGCATGAGTGCGTACAGTAAACTTCTCTTCCACTCGTTAGAAAACTCCATATATCTGTCAGCACTGTAAGACAGTAAAAACTGAGTCCTTCCTTTCTTGGTCATATTGGCATATGACATATTGGCCCTCTAAATAACACAAAGACCTCTGGTCACTATAAAATGGTCTGGGCTTTGGAGTTATCACTGGATCAGCCAAGCACACAAACAGTGTTGAGGGGCTCCTGAAAATGTTTTCTACCAATTGTGTTGTCTCCAGTCAACCTTGCTGCTTACAATGACTTGAATGATTGCTCGGGTGTCACACTTCAATGGGTTACCATCCCATTGAGCGCAACCCTTGTATTCGCAGATCACTTGAGGCTACAAAAACCATTCTAGGCTCAGGGGCTGTGTGAGCCGCTGGGTCTGTGTTGACGTTCAACCATGGTGCTCACTGAACGAGAGAGCACAAGAACAATGCGGTCATCGCAAGACTTTCAAACCTGCCCTGAATCTTACTTTTCTCTTGTTCTTCTGAAAGCTGCGATTTGTACATTTTTAAGTCAGCAACATCAAAGCAGCTGTCAAGTTAATTAGCTTCCCTGTTGTAAAATATATATTATTACTATAAGGGAACAAGTAATAGGTTTATTCCATGCTGAAAAAAAGAAGAAACAGAACACAACGTTTCGGCCGTGGAGCCTTCTTCAGGTGTGTCACTATTACTATAATATTATTTATTACAATATCTTATTTATTAATTTAAAAGAATTGCTTATGAAAGGCAGAACTTGTATTTCCAACCAAAAAGAAAAAGAAAAGTTATGCTTGCTGTCCAATTTCAATATGCCAACCTATCAACATTACAAACAGGATTCAAAAAGCAACAATATTGAAGATCTGAGACACATATTCTAATTCCTTCATCACAGACCAGCCCATGTCCTACCTCCGGTTTACAGACCCTGCTGAAGAGCATTAAGTCTCACAACATCTGAACAAAAACATGTTTATGATTCTGATGCAGCTGCTGAATTTTTAATAAATGTTTCTTTACGAGACTATAACAAGATAGATAGATTGGGCAAGTAGTAGAAGGACAAAGAAGTAGTACTTCATATCCTGGTTGGGTGGTTTTACTCTACAGGTCAACTTATTCAGGATGGTAAGAAGACATTAAATGATCTCTTTTGTACCTCCTCCCTCTCGTGTGAATTGGGCCTGAAATTCCAGCATTCACTCCGACAGATTTATCCTTTGCAGAAAGCTCTGGGCTGTGGAGGGCGGGGTTAAGAACTGGGGTAAGATGGGAGATCCATTTAATGACTCTGTGACTTACGAGTCTTAGAGAAATATGGGGTCCGTTTCGAATTGATTAGCAGCAGTTGTCATAGAAACCTGGGGCCCTTTTCGAAAAAGTGTTTTTCTCTGGGGATTGTGGGACTGAGACAGCATTTTTGGATGATTTATTTTAAAATTAAAATTTTATAATTAAATTATAAAATATAATCTTTTATAATAAAATATAATCTTACTCACAGAAACCAAAGCTAATTATCTGAACAATACATATAAGATCTTTTCAGTGCAGAAATGAAGCCTAGCATTCAGTTGCTTTCTTAAACTGATTCTTTAATCATAAAAAAGTTATCATAGATCAAGGACAGTGTTTTTCCAGGTTTTAAAGACTTACAGTCCCATCAGGTTTCTAGAACATATCGGTACCTAAATCGGAAAAGTGGATATTTAGAACAATTAACTCGTTAATTGAGTCAATTAATAGATGAATAGAAGAGACTAATTTGAATCAAAACCAGTGGACCATGGATCTCTCCCCGAACACAGGTGTGTATGAATGATGTTAAATTTCCCTTTTCCAATTCAACGTGACTTTGAACAGCTCCATCTTGGCCATCCCTTTATGTCTCTTCCTGTAACCCACCCTCCTCCTCTCCTTTTCTCCTTCAGCTCACCCTAGCAGCTCCTCTGGGAACGTCTGACCAGCCATGAGCTGCCGGAACAGCCCTGAACCGAGCCTCCAGCCCCCTGTCTGTAAACACTCCAAGGACAGACCTCCTGGAAAAGCTTTTATAAGGGTTTTTTAATAATGCCACAGCTCTCATTACAGGGGAACGAGCTTTTCCTTCCCCTTGCATAGGAAGAAAGAAGAGGCATGGGTGAAGGGAGAAAGAGGTATTGTTCATCTTGCTGTGCGTGAGCGATGTAGTCTGTCCCTGTGAAGGCATGGAGTTCAGGGGGGCCCACACTGTCTTAATGGGGGTTATTAATCCTCAGGCCCCTATCAAATTGAACTGCATGACTGCTTTCTCTTCCATAGACTACTAGGCCTCCTTTTTGTAATGAGAAAGTTCCCATAAAAGAGTGGGATAAAAAAATGGAGACAACCTTCCAATTTATGCTTCTCCTCAAACCCTGTCCCTCATAGCCTGTTCAGTTTAAGACACTTATCCAAGAAAGAATGGCTTTCAGGAAACATGGGAATGTTATACATTTGCCAATTCTTTTGCTGTTAACAATTATGTATCTATTTGCCATGATAAACAGTGCGGAAAACTATGTTATTGATGTGTGAATTCAGGATTTCACACTTACAGTAAAAATAAATAAAATACACATTTGAGCTGTGGAGCCATCCAGACATAGCTCCCTGCTCTAATATATACTGATAATAAAACTAATATTACTGTCTGCACAATTCCTGCTTTGAACTGGACTTAGATTCATGGCAGTGAATTTTCATGTTTCATGAAATTTCTTGATCATGGAGCTGTTCTTGTCTAATTGCTTCCAGTAGGTTTATAGATTGCTGGCTGATTTAACTGGATATTTTCCACAGCCTGTCACTCAAGGTCAGCAGGGAGGTCAGGGATCAAAGTCAGCACACAGTGTCACAGGCATGGTTACCCGAATCTTACCCCTGAGAAAACATTTTAAAAGATGGATCAGATATGGGTGTAATTGTGCAGAACATTCTCCTTTTAAAAAGGCTAATACGGCACCTGTAGAAGTGCTCTTCCTAGTATCAGTAACGACGTGGTGTCATTTAATAGAAAGAGTTGATCAGGGTCTACAATGAACTAATGGGACTTGTCTTCATGCACTAGCTGTATAAGAGCAGAAAACCGATCTCCGTGGGCTTGAATGTTAGGACACCTGGGAATAAAAGAAGATGGCTCAGTTTCTTCCAGTAGATCCAAACATCGTTGACTACAACATGGTTGTAAAGTTGGTTCCTCACACCTACGTTTTTTTTATGAAAAGCAGAGCCCCGCTTGCTTTGAATCAACCAGTTGTTAACATCCAGTTCGCGCCTGGCTTTGTGACAAACTGGCAAGCCCCCCACTCAGTGACCAATGAGAAAGCTCTTTGTCAGTCTGACCAAACAGCCCACTAGTGCTACTCTGTACAGAGACCAAGAGACGCTACTTTTTATTGTATTTCTTTGTTTTGTTGTGTTCTGTTTTTTTTAAAGAAGGAGAGGACAAAGACAGCAAACAAACTGAAATTAATCCTCTTGTTAATTGAAGTTAAATAAGAGGGACTTCTTTAACACTCCACTAATTTGTTTTTTAAAGCCCTGCCTCCACACACACAACATACGATGAAGTCTCATTATTATTTTCACACAAATCCTACAAACCAAGGATTTTTCAGGGTGCTACAGTCGTTGCCTCAGATCTAGTCACTCTGGTAATTCCTCAAGGTGGAAAAAACATTTGGATGGGAGAGTCCTGGAGACGTGCCTTGGGAGAAAGTGAGTAGTCATACATCTCTAATCAGGGGCAATTAAATGTTTTTATTTGCTTCTGTTTTGAAGGGAGTCTAAGAAGCCTCCTCTTGCCCCAAATCTAGAGCTGGCTAAGTCTAATGGCTGATTCATGGCCTTATCCAACAAGAGCCAGAACACAGCAAAAGAAAAAGCACAGACTAGTGTAAAGATTCCATTTGCATTGAGCCATCCCTTGGATGACAACAATCAACAAGACAGGCCCAAGGCTCTAATAGTCTTCAGCATTAACTTCAGACAGCCTGCCTGGCACTTAAATAAAAGAATCTTCTTTTCTGAACTGCTGTGAACTTAAAGCTAGATTCTCAACTTTCCAGCATTGCTGCTGAAGAAGAAAATGCAGAGAGTTATATGTGGCTTTGTAGATCAGAGCAATTCCTTTCAAGGTGTCAGCTTGTATTCTGTGCAACAAGGGTCTATTCCAATGAGCACTCAAGCCACTGTA